TCAAAATATTGAAGTGACAGATGAAAGCTTTGCTATCAGGGATACACCAAGATTGTATTTGTTATTTTCCTGGTTTTATAACTTCGTTTTCATTTTTGAAATCCAAGACTTTACCTTTCCTTGGTGGAGTAAATATGAAGGGTGGCTATTAAAGTCTGATATGCTGTGAAGATCAGATTTTACAAAAATGAGATACTTTGCTTGTCCAGCAGTCACTAGATATGGCTTGTGAAAACAGAGCCTCTGGGAACATTTGTAACCTAAGATTAGTTGGGAAACGACTGGCCATCAGCAGAGGGAAGACATGAAGCTATTGAGGGGCTCCAGAGGAGGACCACAAAAATGGTCAGAGGAATGGAATACCTCTCCGATGAGAGAAGGCTGAGAGAGCTGGGGTTGCTCACCTGGGAGAAGAGAAGGCTCTGGAGAGACATTATTGCTGCTTTCCAGTTCTTTAAAGGGGCCTATGAGAAAGATAGGGAGAGACTCTTTAGCAGGGCCTATTGTGGTAGGACGAGGAGTGATGGTTTTAAACTAAAAGAGGGGAGATTGAGGCTGGATGTGAGAAAAGAATTCTTCACAATGAGGGGGGTAAAATACTGCCACAGGTTGCTCAGAGAGGTGGTGGATGTGTCATCCCTGGAGACATTCAAGGCCAGGCTGGATGTGGTTCTGGGCAACCTGATCTAGTTGAAGATGCATGTGATGTGACATGGAGAGTGGGATTCAGTGTGCCCTCAGCAAGTTTGCCAATGACACCAAGCTGTGTGGTTCGGTTGATACGCTGGAGGGAAGGAATGCCATCCAGAGGGACCTTGACACGCTTGTGAGGTGGGCTGATGCCAGCCTGATGAAGTTTAACCATGCCAAGTGCAAGGTCCTATACCTGGGTCGGAGCAATCCCAGGCACAGATACAGATTGGGCAGAGAAGAGATTCAGAGCAGCCCTGCAGAGAAGGACTTGGGGGTGTTGGTTGATGAGAAAAAGAACATGAACCGGCTGCGGTGTGCGCTCGCAGCCCAGAAAGCCAACCGTATCCTGGGCTGCATCAAAACAAGCATGACCAGCAGGTCAAAGGAGGTGATCCTGCCCCTCTACTCTGCTCTCCTGATACCTCACCTGGAGTATTGTGTGCAGTTCTGGTGTCCTCAACATAAGAAGGACATGGAAGTGTTGGAACAAGTCCAGAGAAGGGCCACAAGGATGATCAGGGGACCGGAGCACCTCCTGTATGAAGATAGGCTGAGAAAGTTGGGGCTGTTCAGCCTGGAGAAGAGAAGGCTGCGTGGAGACCTCCTAGCAGCCTTCCAGTATCTGAAGGGGACCTATAGGGATGCTGGGGAGGGACTCTTCATTAGGGACTGTAGTGATAGGACAAGGGGTAACGGGTTAAAACTTAAACAGGGGAAGTTTAGATTGGATATAAGGAGGAAATTCTTTCCTGTTAGGGTGGTGAGGCACTGGAATGGGTTGTCCAGGGAAGTTGTGAACGCTCCATCCCTGGCAGTGTTCAAGGACAGGCTGGACAGAGCCTTGAGTGACATGATTTAGTGTGAGGTGTCCTTGCCCGTGGCAGAGGGGTTGGAACTAGATGATCTTAAGGTCCTTTCCAACCCTAACTATTCTATGATTCTATGCTCCTGCCCATTGCAGGGGGGGTTAGACAGAATGACCTTTGAAGGTCCCTTCCAAACCAAACTTTTCTGTGATTCTATGATTCTGGGGACTACTGCTACTACATGTGTGCCTCAAGTGAAACACCCCACTCCAGGCAGAGACCAAAGTATTCAAGACAAGGAGCACCAGCAAAAATCCTGCCACCCCCACAGATTAGGTCAATAACAAACACTGTGCCAAAGAGGAGGCAAAAGTGCAAAATGGTTCTGGCAATAAAATTGATTCTTATTCATCTGAGAAACAGACTGGTTACTCTTACCAGATTAGAATAGGAAAACATATATTTTTTAATTCTTTAACTAATGCAGTGGGATACTAAATATCAACAAAGCAGAAAACTTGGGTCACTGGCTGTAGGCTATCGACGGATGAGGTTGTTAAACTGATGTTTTCAATATAGGATTATGGGTAAGTCCTTTGAGATATGGTGAATGTCCAAAAGATTGAACAGAGAAGACAATAAACAAATTTTTCAATATTTACAAGGGATAATGTGCTGAAAATGTAACTATAGGTCTGTCAATTTAATGCTTACCCAGGGCAAAATCTCAGGAAGCCAAAATAGGATGCGCTCAATAAAGAATTAAGGATGAACAGCCTAATTAATACCAGACCTCATGGTCTACTGAAAGATAAAACTTTAAAGACAAATAAGTTGCATTTTTGGTAGGATTTCTAGACTGGCAAAATGTGCTTTTGTTAAAATAACAAAGTTATATGAGGCCATATATCTTTCTCATTAAAAAAAGAAAAAAAAAGAACTATTCAAACTTCAAAGTCAAGGTAAGCAAATAAAAAAATTAGTAGAGATATTTAAAAAAATACTAAATTGGAATGATCTTTCAAAAATAACATTTCTGGTAGGCTTTTCTTATCCAAATGTAGTTCAGGGGAGTTCATGGATGGGGAGGGAAGGCAAGCTTGTGGTTGGCACTGACTGAATGAGAGACAAAGATAGCTTCTAGAGAGAGGCTCAGACAGCAGGAAAATCTGGGCTTTCCATCTTTTAATTAAAGAGCTAGGTGCAAATATCAAACAGCTAGGAATAGGGAATGTAGCCTGCAAGGGAAATAAAAACTGAATTAGTGTTGGTAAGAAAAAAACCCACCCTTTTTTAATGAGAGCAGACTGGAAAGTGTTCAGATGGGATCCCTAGAATAGTTTGAAATTTAGAAAGCCTTTAATGAGATATTGGAGAAGCCCAAGTGAATTTTCTCTCATCTTCAAGTTTGCATTTCTACCCAGTCACAGCAAATGCTTGCCCTCTACTAACAGTATCAGCATCTGTGGAGTGCCTGCCCATGGTCACTGAGACTGAGTTGACTCCTTTAAGGTGAGGACAAGAGAAGGCATTTATTCCAGATAACATGAGACACTTACAGGTTCCTCCTCCACAGCTGAGGGAGGAAAATGAGCAGTTCAGACCTCAGATGCACTTAAGATAGCATTAAGGGTCCTGCAGAGCTATCCATAGTTGCCTAGGGGAGCAAGCAGACAGCAGACAGAGAGGAGAGCTACCATCGGCAGAGCTCAAGAGGGCCAAGACTGGTTGTTGCTAACAAGAAAAGAGAGTGAAGACAAAGGATCAGCTCTAAGATTTAGACAAAAACAAATAATTTGAAATATAAACAATTTCTTAAAAAATATTTAAAAGTTAGAAATATTGTAAAAAAGCTGCAAAATAAATAAAAAAAAAGAAAGGATGGGAAGCAGTTAAAGTTAATTGGAGCGCAAAAATTTTGGTTTATGTCTGCAGGATGAAGCAACAACTCTTTCTTTGGCTGTGAGCTGAGAATGCAGGAAAATGCAGGCTGGAGATAGCAGAAAATGAAAATAACTATGGATATTGGGAGACCATGGCAGGACAGGTGAGGTTCACAAGCATCTCTGGAGGTCATCTACTTCAATCTCCCTGCTCAGAGCAGGGTTACCTACAGCAGGTTGCTCACTACTGTCCAGTTTGGTTTTGAATATCTTCAAGGATGGGACTCAGCAGCCTCTCTGGGCAGCCTGTGCCAGTGCCTCATAACCCTCACAGTACAAAAAAAAGGGGGGTTGTGTGTTTAGACAGAATTTTCTGCATTGTAACTTCTGTCCATTGCCTTTTGTCCTCTCAGTGGGCATCAAGAAGAGACTGGCACCAACTCCTTTACTCCCCCTCTTCCAATATTTACCTACATGGATAAGATTCTTCTGAGTCATATTCTCCAGGCTCAACAGGCACAGCTCTCTCAGTCTGCCCTCCTACCAAAGATGATTCAGTCCCTTCATCTTCTTGCCCCTTTGCTGAACTCTCTCCAACATGTTCACATCTCGTACTGGGGAACCCAGCACTGGATCCAGCAATCCAGATATGTTTCACCAGTGCTAAGTAGAGGGGAAGGATCACCTCTCACCCCACCACTGGCAGTGCTCTTCCCAGTGCCCACCTATACCAAGATAGGAAAGGATGGGGCAAGTAGGGGAGTAGGGGACATAGAAATGAGTCAGGAAAACACATCTGCCTCCCAGATAGGAGAGAAAAACAACTGCAAAAGAAAAAAGTTAAGGTGAAGCAGCAAATAGCAATAGTATTTTTTCCATTCTTTCTTCAATAAGATAAGCAGAGAGTTTGTTGATGAAGGAGGAAAGAGTGCCAAAGAAAAATCCATGGATTACAGGCACCCAATTCAATTCAGCTGGTGAAGTAGAGCAATTTAACAAGACAGGGGCATGACTGAAGGGAAAGGAGAAGGAATGCTTAACAGAGGGAACAAAAGTTATTTCTGCCAGGAGCAGGACTAGAGAAAATAAATATATGGAAGTGTAAGGGAGTGAGTGCCATATATGAGGAAGCTGTTAGGAAAGACTACAAAGGGAGTAAGAGTCATGGCATGGGCCACAATAGGAACATTCAGCTCTTGGGCTAGATAAAACTACATGCCTTCTCACTTCACATGAGTTTCTATTCTTTTGCGTAAAACAGAAGGCCATAACAGCCTAGATGCTGAGAGCTAACCTAAAGAGCCCAGTAGTTAAGATATTCTCCAACACAGGAGACTGGGATTTGGATTTCCTGAATCAGAGGTGTGAAGTGAACTTAGATGAGTACCATAAAATATAAGTTATGTATTTGAGTCCCTTTCTAGACTTTCTAGCTAGCAATATTCTGCCTCAGTGTCTGAGTAGTGCAGCACATACCAAAAAAAGATACACTTATACCAAATACTATCATATCTAAGGCTTTCTGTAAATCTGAGCTATTTTTAAGAATAAAAGCTGACACGACTGCAAATTGAATGAAGTTGTCCAAATATACAAATATTGAAACAAAATAAGGAGATCCAAGTGCATAAAACTTTTTAATTTACCAGGTAAGTGGTTAAGAAAATTCAGTAAAAGCTACCTGAAAATTGTCAAGTTTGAACTAGGAGTCAGGCAGATATTTTTAAAAGCAGGGACAGTTAAGCCATTGAAACTTTTAGATACATAATAGAGAATCAATCCTGTAAGTCCCTACATGAATATTGCATTTCTTCATAGGGAGGTAGTTTCTGATTTAGGCAGACTACGAAATCTAAACGTAGGAATCTTGCTGTCAATTTAGATTGGAATTCAGAATAGCTGATTATAATGCTTTAGTCAGTTTGTTAAAACAATTTTGTCTCCGCAATGAAAAAGCAAAGGGGTTTCCTTTCGTAACTTCCAGCCCCATACCACTCTCTGTTGGAAGGTTTGTTTCTGAAATAGCAAGGAGATCATCAGTGCAGATTACATTGAGAAAACAACAATTTTCAAAACAATAAAAACCCCTCCATTTACTGTTATATAGTAAGAACATCTGGTTTTATGCCACTGCATACTAGGTAATTATTTTGGTTGGTGTAAATTATAACTAGAGGAACTCATTTTATTTGAAAACCTTTGTCAAAGTTTTACTCTAACAGGTAGATAGCAAACATACTGAAATATTGGTTCCTAAGTTTTGATAGCCATGAAGCCATTTCCCCAGTCTATCACCAATTCATTTCATTATAGCCCCTTTAAAGAGATGTCAAGCCTTCAAGCTTAAATTTTTGCAGGATGTGTGTGTGGGGAAGTGGTAATTCTGAGATACTGGAAGCTTTCCAACAGGATAAGAACAGCATTTCCCAGACATCCTGCTAACATCAATTTGTGGATGCTATAACTTCTTATCATCTCTGTTGCAGGCCTTGGCTCTTAAACACACTTCCTGGGCCACTGTTCATATAGATTTGTTTGTTCTGTTCAGAAAGATAGGAAAGGAAAAATTCAGATACTTTGCCGTTAAAAAGGGCTGGAATAGTTAATGTCTGAAATAGTTTGTAGAGAGCATTTCAAATAACAGATTGAAATGCTGGATAAGTGGAAGCACTTTGAAGATTATGATCAAGCTTCATCTTTGAAGACAACTAGATGAAAGTAGACAAGCTTAATGGAAGAGGTTACTCAGGGTGACTTGCCATTACTGTTCCTGAATGTGGAAGTAGCAGATTAACAGAAAGTTGGGTTTTGGTTTTTAAGTGTTTTTTTTTTGTTTTGGTTTTTTGTTTTTTTTCTTTGTTTTTGTTTTGTTGTTTGTTTTTTTATATAGAAGCAGCAACATGATCACACTGAATTTTAACTTGTCAGTGACCATTGTGACCTTCCCTCCCACTCAGCCTTTGTTAGCAGGGTCTAGGGTTATCGTACATCAAGTGCAGACAGGCTGCAGGTTCTCTGCTTCAAAAAGACAACCTACAAGTCAGTCTCATTAGAATACAACACAAGGATCTGATTAAAGCAAAGAAATTTCCTTTAAAATATATGTGTGTGCATGTACATATATCCCACTCTGCAGATGTTTAGCCCAGCCCTGATAACTACTGAAGGAAGCTGGGTGAGAGAGTCCTTGGAGGGAGATGTGAATTTCATTTCCAAAGCAGCAGTCCGCTAGCACAGCCAAGTACCACCTGCAATACAGTGCCATTGCATAGGTATGTAAAAGTCTCCCCATAGATTTTTCCAAGTGTCAGATACTCTAAAAATGGGTAAACCACAGAGCATTACCAAGATATCCAGTATTTCCTATTAACATCAGCTAGCTAATAGAATAAATGATTTGACCAATTCTTTGAGGGGAAAAAGAGCTCAGGGCAACTGCAGAAAGTTCCAGAGGCAAAAGGAAACATAGCAATAATCATGGTTCAAAAGAAAATTTCATGTGATCAATCATAAAGTTTCCATATTGCAAGTGTTATGGAAAAACATTGTGTCATGCCTGCACACTGAAAAAAAACTGCTCAGAAAACCTTTAACTTTGCCTAAGATATACTTATAAATGCTGCAACTAATCTCATCTGCATGGTTTATGTAACATGTTGTGTGGATCCTTCATTTCCATTAGAAATATCTTGGTCATGCATCTGATTTTGGAAATCATTAAAATGTTGTCTCCTGCAGAAACAGATATAAATTAAATTCCATTAGACTAGAGGGACAAAAAAAAAGTAAGAAACTGAAGCTAACCTTGGAGTAGCTTTCCCCACTCATGTAACAGAGGTTACAAAGGTAAAACAGGCAAATAGTGAAAAACTGGTATATCGTATCACAGAAGATGTGAGAGAAATTTAATAAATTTCAGTGTTATGTCAAGTTTTATTTCTTTCATGTGTTGTATTTTTTTTAAGAACATATTTAAAAGATCCTGTCTACAATACACACATTTTCTCTTGAATACCTGCTGTTGAATACAATGGTAAAACAATTCCATAAAATCTCCAATAACACAAAACAAAAAAAACACTTCTCCTATCCCAAAAGAAAACCTTCTACCTGCTTCTTTAGTTTGAGTCTCCGAGACAGTTTTGGCTGGATATAGAGCAGTAAGTAAACACAGATATTACTGCAGCTTCTGCAGCCACTGATGTTTGCTTTTTCTGAGATCCCAAAGGCTGGGATAATTACATTCTGCAAGAGGCAAAACAATTTATATAAATCCCCACACACACATTCTCTTATTAAAAATTAAATAGGACTTCCATAATCAGCCACATCAAATATGCGCGAAGAATGACAGCTAGAAAGGAGTCTCTGCAGATTGCTCATGAATTGGGTGTGAAGATGAAGTCAGGGTAAGAAAAAAAAATCACAGTGATAAAAGAGCACTTTCTTGGAGCTTTTACAAGGTCATTTGGTCCAGGCCAGATAAAAGTGAGCATTTCTCCAATACCCTGTAACAAGAGGGAGAAAATAGAATTAAAAATTATCTTTTCAGCAAAACCAAAAATCAAGGTCAGCTTCTCTAGGATGAAGTCCACGGGAAAATAAAGTCTCCCTTTTCTTCTGACAGGTTTTAGCATTTAATTATGTAAAGCCTTCATGAAAGGATTTCTATTTTTTGGTAAATTTAATTCACAAGATGTCCTATTTGTCTGCAGACATACTAATAACTTTGAAAAACATATTTGTAGCAAGCTGAAATGTATTTTGAAACAACAGTTAAACAACACTTAAAAAAGTACGCACATCCATAATTCTCGTACAGTTCATATGTAAATATATTATTGGTATTGTATATATTGTGAAAAAAAAACAAAGAATGCCCGATTTGAATTCCTCCAGCTGCCTGCAGCTTACAAAACCTAATAGTATTGTGGGCTGAAAAAGATGGCCATTTCTTCCCCTGTGGGGAACTGCCTCTATCTTTTTGTTGTCATATCATTAGTGAATTTGAATTAATTTTTAATAACAGTTTTACTCCTCATAAAAATGAAAAGACAGCTCATGAGAGGCCAACGATATTATTTAGATACCATCTTCAGAATACAACCCTGCTGCAAAAATACTAAAATAACTTTTGAAGCAGAAAACGAGGAAGAAAGTCACAGAATACCTTCATTTGTGGGAGAAGGGTTAAAAACAAAGGCCTTTTTTAGGTTTGATTTTTTAAAAATCCTCTTTATAAAATCCTAGCTCTCAAAAAAAAAAAAGTTATGTCAAAGCCATCTCCTAAGGCAAGAATAATATGTGTCAGTGCCTGAACTTGCTTTCAAAGTCTCCAAGCCTAGAAGCAAGGGCTCTGCAAAAATCTTTATATCAGAACTGGGAATCGGGGTAAGGAATGCCTTTCAGAAAAGATCAAAGGTGCAGTGAAACTTAAGAAAAGGAAATTTGAAAACAGAGGTCCTGATTTCTCTGGTTAAATAGTGGTGTTGTACCAACAGCATTCACTGATACGAATAGTCTTTTTGCCAATGGGAAAGAGCATGAAGAATGCAGCACACAAGAGAGTCACACTTTCACTTAAGAAAGTCCACTGAAAGCTTGCAGGATTGCCTCCTGCATTTCCAGCCATATTCCTCAGCTGCCCAGATTTATCCACTCACAGTCCACAATAGAGAGAACATGGCTGTATTGAAGTTTTAGCCTAAATATCAAAGCAACCCTAACAAATGCTTTCCATGCCACGAGCACTTCCGCTGACTTGACATACAGGTTCTGCAGTTCTGTATGAAAGAAGGCGTTTCAAAATAGGTATGTGCCATTGCATGGCCCCAAACACAGAGGTGGAAAGCATTTATTTTAAGATCCCTTCTCCTGTTACTTGAAAATTAAGCCGTGTAAGCTGTCATAATGAAATGCCAAATATGAAGCTAAATTAACACCAGCATTGGTACTAAAAACAATGAACACTCTTACCTTTCTCCTCCTTTATTCCAAGTAGTTTGGGCTCCTGGATAAAGAAAAACAAATGCACTAATACAGTACAATGTACAGTACAATCATGTATTTATGCAAGGAATTACGGTTATCCAGTGGTGTGGAGCTTTCTTGATTATTTGGTACACTTTCCTGTCTTTTGAAACTCCACTTAAAATAACAAGTAAACCCTTCTGCAAGATTCCAGTTCTAGTAATAAATATTTCTTTGATTTGAACTCAATATGAATAGCATGATTTATCGATTCAGGAGATAAACATATCTTGCTTTTGCTGGTAAAAAAATCAATCTAGAAATGTTCTAAATATCTTCAGATGCCTCAATCCTTTCTTGTTCTCACAAAATTTGAAAGAGTGAAAAGTTTCCACCATTCGTCTCTGGACTCTACCAATCTCTTTTAGGATAGGATTTTCAAAAGAAAGAGTGATTGAACTCAAAGTCAAGCCAGGCAGTACACATCTGCATATGCTGTTTGAGTGCTTTGTCAGAGGGAAGTCATTAAACTTAGCTATGGCATGCTTGCACCTACTCCTCTGAGGTCCTTATATTGATGCTGATACTTCTGTGAGTAGTGTATTTACTGCCATCCTTCTGCCAGGAAAGACAAGCACATTACTCTCAGTTGAAAACCCCAAACCAACAAGTTTTAGGAAAAAAAATAATAATCTTTTCAACTCAGATTGTGCATAGACTAACCAGGTTAAAGTGAAGTTAGCAAACCACATTCTTTGTTAAAACAAACATGACCACTGTAGATTGCACTCTGGAACTTTTTCATATAAATACTCTATTCTCAATATGCCCATGTAAAGTAAAAGATTTTTCTTTGTGTTGGGAAACCAGCATTTTCAGTGCCACTTTATCCATCTAAAAGTTCATTAATGTCTGCATTAAAGATTGGTTGCGTATTGAAAACTGGCACGCATCCTGTCCTTGTGATTTCAGGGATCTTTGAGCTATGGCTCTTCACTCTGCAATAGCTGACTTCATGACATGCTCCCTCTCAAAACGGTAGCAAACAGCATAAATCAAGTGCTGGCTGAGGCTCCAAGGAAACATTCTCATGGATCATGCTACAAGAACTAAACCAAGTGTAACCCACAAACCATGTTTATTTTAAATAGTTTTATCCATAAATCATGTTTCCTCAAAACAGATTTATCCAGCATCCATTGAGTTCCTGTTCTGCACATGAGAAAGGAAAAGAATAGGGTTTTCTGTCACACTGCACCTGTGTATTCAGGGCACAGTTGCTTCACCCAACAAATATCTAGAATTATGCATCCACTGAAGGAGTAGTCAGCATCCAAAAGAGCATTTCTCATTCTTATGCATCACACCAGGTGTAATGGAGACATGAAAGGAGAAGGTGTCATGTTGCCTACTAGATTCTGGGTTTACTGTAACTCAGAGTTTCAACAAGACAATTAGTATTTCATTAAAGAAGAGTAGGCAAATAAATTTCATATGTTCACCATGTGACCTCTTCTCATTAATAGAACAAGCAAAAGGTTCCCCAACAGCGCTCCATTTTCACACAAAAAATAAGCAAGTGCTCTGTTGTAGGCTTGCCGGGCATCAGCACTGGGTCTTTACAAGTCCCTCCACTCCTGAACATGGGCAAATATCTTCAGGGAGTTAATACAGAAATGTGAAACTGTTTTAAAGTTATAATTTTGTAAAAATTGAAGTGTTTTAACATTTAAATACAACTGATAATTTGTGCTGCTATAGTGAACAGATACTGTTCCAGTCACAGGTCCCCATTGAGCAAGGGTTAAATCTTACCGATAAAACTTTGATGTCAAAATGACAACTGTTGCTTTATTACCCTCATATTCCCCTCCTATCCTAAAAGGTTTATCCTTATGTTAGAGACAACAGCACTGCAAAAGACATCAAAACTTTCTTGATAGCACACAAGAGTCAATGTTCCCTCAAGGGTGCAATATCTTACAGACAGAAGTGGAGATTTATTAATTTGTCTTCCCATTAAAAGAGGAAACCACACAAACCACCCAGACAGTGCCCTGGCATTTATAATCTAAAAGGGAGGAAAGATTACTTTCGCAAAGACCCTTCTGGAAATAACAGCTTACAAATATTCCTAATAAAACACAAGATGTCTGGAGGGCAGATGAATTAATGAATTTCCTATTGATCAGAGGACAATTGGTCAATGCAACTCCCCTCCTCCACCCCGCCCAGACACACACAATATATTTGCCTTCCCCCCTCCTCTCCATGTCCCCTTCTGTGTCCCCTAGCCCCAGGAAAACAGAACAGAGCTGCAGCTGCTTTGGAGCTGTGCCCATGCCAATCGACCAGAGGGCTGCAGCTGAACAATGCACAGAGCGCCCAGGTCCTTCCACCACCCCTCAGAGTAGGGCACTGATTTGGAGCTTTTCCACTGCCAGCACTGAAACTTAATCACTTTCGAGACTTATACTCCCTTTCAAATTTGGCTAAGGTTGGCCAGCAGGTTGAAAACCTTATTACATGCAGACAGATAGCATGATCATTCAAACTTAATTTACTGAGGAAATCAGTCTAATAGATATAATAGTGAAAAATACAGCAGGTATATTGACGACATGGTGCCATGTTTCTGTTCTGTGTGAAGCTGTTGTGACTGTAAAGAGTTCAAACAGGAAAAAAAAAGAGAAGCGGGAAAGAAAACAAATATTTCTTTTTCAGTGCCACTGCACAGATGGAGCAAGTTCAAAAATTACCTGCAAGTCTTAACTTTGGAAACATTTTTAATTTCTTTTAATCTTTATTTATAGTCTGACCTGCTACAGATAGCTTCCTTGTAATGTAAACGCCATGCTGCAGACTACAGGACTTGCAAGCCCGACCTGGAGTTCAGATATTTTTGCTTAAAGTCCCAAGGGAAGGGAGAAGAATCTTCATATAATCAAAGACAGTGAGTTTGCAGCCTCTAGCCTATCTTTTGAGAATTACTTTTCTTTCTTGCTTTTGTTATAAATACCCTTTTTTAATTCCTTTCCATGATGACATATTCTTTCATGGCTTATTCTTTCCCTGCTTTGTTTAGTCTTCAAATCTCACATCACAGCATAAAGGAAAAATGGATAATCAAGCATTACCCAACAGAAGGCAGGCTCCTTGGGAGCCATTAAGTAAACATCAGAGTAGGACATTTATCATTTCTTCACACTGGGTTTTATTGCATTTATGTTGATGCAGTCCTTGACAATATATATTTAAAAAAAAACAAAAACAATAAAATGCATAAATTGGCTGCATATGCCACAGAGTTGTCTTGTTGAAACTGTGCTGGGCTGACTGCACTTGTCTGGTGGTACTAACACCCACTCTGTGGAAGATGACATATGGCATTTGGCTAAAGGCAAACCTCCTCTCTTTCTGCAGACAATGGCAAGGGTTTTTAGTGATGACAGCAGGCGTTCTAATGGAGATGCTAGAGTTTACATATTGGGAATCTCAGCTGTGTCACACATTTTCTTTTGAGTTTATCAGGAAACAGTTTACAAATTGGGACAAAGAACACAACGTGAAATAAAAACACTAATTTTTGCCCTTCCTGCCTTTGTTAACCCTTCAGCAGACTTTACCTTTTGCTGCTTACAAGGCATCACTTAGCTCCTTCCTACCCTGAAGTCTAATTCTGCTATCCGCACATGTGCTATCCTTCAGAAGATGCTTCAGGCCTACCATACAGAATACTCTCTTACTCACACTCTTTTACTAGCCTGGATATTCGTAGTCTGGCTTCCAACAACTCCTGGATTGCCTGGCATGTGATACAGGCTTTACCAGTAAAGCCTCCGACCAACTGGCTCTCCAAGCAGCTGCCCGCAGACCTTATGGGAGGTTGAGCTGGCAGATCCTGCCTCCTCTTAGCAAGACCAAGAGAATCTGTCCAAGACGCCTGAGCCCTCTGCTGTGGCACAGGACTTCCCCAAAGCTTGTAGTGATGAAGACACTCCTTTTCCACTTCTAGTATATGGAAAACTCCAGCAGCAAGAACATTTGCTTCTTAATCATGCCTTGACTTCGTAGATTCTTGAACCCAAGTCTTCCTGGCATTCATCTACCAATATATAGTCCTACTAATCCAATTCAAACTTTTCTGGTTTATCAGCTAAACATCTTCACACTGGAACTAAATTTTCTTAGACTCTCATCCTTTTGCTGCTCTCTCTTTGTAAATCTTTTATTTCTGCACTAGGATCCTCCCCGCAATTGAATTTCAATCTAATGGAAATTTCCATAATGCAAATACTACATAATTTTGTTTTTAACACTGAAAAGTGCAATTCTAAATAACAGTCACATTAATGCCTCATTAGGACAGCTGAAAAAATAATGGATGTTTAATAGGTTACAGTCAAGGTATCTTTCTTCAAAGAATCTTTACAAATACTATGTACTTTATATTGATGTAGTTAGGTCTTCTATGTCACAGTTTTACGTGGATAAAAAATGAACAGCTTTACCTTTCATGTGGCATTTTCCCCTTCAATTTCAATATCACAGTAAAATGTTTACAGCATTTCCAAACATGTTTCATTTTTAAACTTTTCAAAAATCCCTTACCATTTCAGTACCCTTGTTCTGAACTTAAGGAAGTACCTTAGATGCAGTTCCTTGCAGTAAGTACCTTGCATGCAAAACATGTGCAAGTGAATTCTGCTGCAAGAGAACCTCCCTCCTTCTATTTGAACAGCTTGTATTTAAGATAAAATTTCTTCTTAAAAGCTATTGTAGACTGACAGCCAAGATGGTGAGTTCTGTCAGGCAGGCTAAAAGCACACAGGCACGTAATAGTATCTGAGGAAAAATTCAACTTTTAAATAATTTCATTGCTTTCATGTTCTGCACCCAAAATCTTACCCAGTCACTGTTACTGCATTAGTCCAGGCTCCCAGAATGTTCAGGCTGGTGGATGTTAGTAAGTTGTGTTTTGTTCTGGAGTTGGTCCAGGAAAGCAATATTTACCCTTAAAATACAACAAAAAATGAATAATGATTGAAAGCATCTGAGGAGTTCACAAACTCAAAATTCAGTGGCTTTCCCTATTCTCAGTTCAATACCTATCTTCCTATGTTTTTCAAGCCTGTGCTGCAAAACCATGGACAGGCATGAGATAAGGTGGATTTCATTTTCAGTTCACTGGGTGCTTCCTTATTCTGTGATCAGTCCTTTGTGATTAAAAGGCATGCCTTGGCTGCTGTGAGAAATGCACCAAAATTCCCCATAGAAAGACAACTTGCATACCACCACCCACCTCATTAGGAAGATTAGCTCTTTTGACAATTCACCCTAGGTAGACTTTCAGTGTTCAGTACAGAAGAAGAGTTTCTAGAAATACTGCTTTCCTAATGCAAATGAAAAAACCCACTTCAGCTTGTTCTAACAAACACAATTCATGTAGCTGACAACTTTTCCTACCATCCAGCTCTGAAATCCACTCTAGCATTTTCTTGTACTGCTCTATCAACCCAGAAAGCATGCAGCAATGCAAATACACTTTTCCTCAATCTGTTTTAAGTATTTTCAAACCTTCTGAAAACTATGCCTTTTTTCCTCCTCTATTAATGTTTAGGATTGACACACATGCTTAGACATGACTGTTGTTTCAATGTTTTACAATGCTATTGGTAAGGACGATGTAAAATGCAAGATACTGGGTTATTTCTATCTAGGGACATGAGATGGACTGAATCGAAAATCCTTCATTAACTTCTAAGGTAATTATCTCGATATCTTTCCTAGAGAAAAAAGAAAAAAAAGAAATGAAAATGGCATGAAGAGTGGCTGCCTACAAAAGTAATTTATTTTTTTTTATATTTCCCTAATGATATAAAAAAGGAAACAAATGGTGATTTTATTTTTGAGCCTGGGCATTGTTTCTTTCTGCCAGCCAAAACCAAAGCTGAGAATACATCTGTGCTTCAAGATAATGGAAAGTCAGGTAAGTGACAGGTGTGCAAGCTTAGAACCACTGAGCACAGAGAGGGCATGGTGGTGGGGCATAGCCTGGGGCATAAAGCAGTACAGTTGCAGAAGGCCTTGAGGCACTGCAGCTTTCATCTGTATCAACATCAAATCCCACACTTAGCTCTGCCTGTTAAACTTGGTGACAGTCAGCCACAAAATGTGGCATGGAGAAAGCAGCTCATTCTAAACCAAGGTAAAAATAAATAAACAAACACATAGATAAATAAATACCTCCCCAGCTGAAACCACTGTACTAGTAGTTACCCATGAAACTACTAATAGTTTCTACTCCATGCAATATTCAACACTGATAGGATAAATAAAGTCAAAATGGCACTATGGGTCATACTGCATTACAGTGAGCAGTTTTAATGATGGATATTAGTGGCTCATTTGAAGGCAAAGTTAAGCCAGAGCTAAGGTCTGGGATCCTTATTGCAATTGCCTTCTTACGCACGAATGCTTGCAATTTTGAGACACTTTCCACATAGGAATTCAATTAAAGTGTGCTCTGCATTTTTGCATCATACCTTCTTTGTTCATCTTGATGTGCTCTCATCCTGTCTTCCTCTTCCTGCTTTTGTTTAATTTCCATTAATTCAGCCTGGGAATGATAAAAGTGAAACAAACAAACAACAAACTTACTTTTAATTAACATACCTATGTTGCAAACCCAATTAATTCCACATGGTGCTAACTTCAGCTAGAGCCACTTGTCATTCCCAGAACTTTTCTCAACAGCGTTTTATTTAAGTGACAGCGCTATGTTAAAAACCTAGCTAACTTTTCTGTTCTGCATTGCACAGCATGAGTTTTGTTTGTGTGTTAAAAAACTGGGAATTAACAGGATTCAGACATTTACAGTCCTACATTTAAAGGGGTAAGATAGACACAAGCCTGCTTCCCTTGCCCCAGCCCACATATTTGCATTACCCTGTGGGTCCAAGGGGGAAGACAGCCAACATCATCTAGCAGGAGCAGACACAGCTGTCATGCCTGTAGGGTATGAAGGAGACGTGCCCTTCACCTCCTGCCTCCATGGAACACAAGGAGAAGATGGGAATAGGGGTGTGTCACCTCCATCTCTCTGGGGCTCTCCAAAGACTGAGGTAAACAGCAAATAGAACCTGAGCTGTGACAATGGTATGAGGCTCAACAAGGCTCAGTGCCACGTCCTGCTCTTGGGCCACAACACCCCCATGCAACGCTACAGGTCTGGGGAAGAATGGCTGGAAAGCTGCCTGGTGGAAAAGGACCTGGGGGTGCTGACTGATGACTGAATGTGATCCAGCTTGTGCCCAGGCAGCTAAAAAGGGCAACAGCATCCTGGCCTGTATCAGCAACAGTGTGGCCAGCAGGGCCAGGGCAGTGATCATCCCCCTGTACTGGCACTGGTGAGGCTGCACCTCTAATCCTGTGCTCAGTTCTGGGCCCCTCACTACAAGAGAGACATTGAGGTGTTGGAGCTGGTCCAGAGAAGGGCAGTGGAGCTGGTGAATGTTCTGGAGAACAAGTTTTATGAGGGATGGCTGAGGGAACTGGGGTTCTTTAATCTGGAGAAAAGGAGGCTCAGGGGGACGTTATTGCTCTCTGCAGCTACCTGAAAGTAGGATGGAGTGGGGTGCGGGTTGATCTCTTCCAGGTAACAAGTGATAGGACAAGAGGCAACGGCCTCAAGCTGCACCAGGGGAGGTTCAGACTGAAATTAGTAAAACTTTCTTCACTGAGAGGGTGCTCAGGCATTGGAACAGGCTGCCAGGGAAGTGGTGGAGTCACTGTCCCTGGAAGTGTTCAAAAACTGTGTAGATTAGGCCCTTAGTGACATGGTTTAGTGGTGGACTTGGCAGTTCTGGGGTAACGGTTGGACTTGATGGTCTTTAAGCTCATTTCCAAACTAGCTGATTCTATGATTCTGTTAGGTTGGTGAAACAGCGTGCAAGCTCCCAGCATTGCAGCATCTTGCCATTCCTACATTACCTAATATTAAGGTATACAATGTCAAAGGTAATTCTTTTCAGAGGAGAGTTTCCTTATGCAGTTTTAGTCAGAACTGCGAAGTAATGTCATACAGCTTATATGATTCTGCTTTGCATGTGTGCTTGTTTGTCTAACACTTGCTCTCTACAGTGCACCCAAGAACTGAAGTTGCAGATTTTTCTGCAAAGAAAATTTGGCTTGCAGGGTGAGAGGGAAGGGATAGGAACAGACCCATCTTTCATATTTTCCATAGCAACTGAGCAGCAGTAGGAATAGAAACTAAAATAAAATTATGCGGTTAGAGAAAAGCTTCAATAACTGAATGGAACCACAAAAGTTAAAAAAAAATAAAAATCAATTCAAGTTCCATTAAATAAAAACTATGCAATAGATGTATGAAGAAAATCAATATCTGTGAATGTGTTGTGTATCAATATTTGTCTAGCCCCCTAAAAGAAGAAACAGGATTAAGAAATAAAAAAGCCAACCCTAATTTTCACTGTTTTAAATAACTATTCAACCTGAAAATTAAAACCCAGTATCTGACTTTCCAATATGCTGAGTCCTCTCTTGGAGTAATGTTCTGAAATATATGGTGTGTATATGATGCGATGTTCAAAGCATACTGAAAATTTCTAAATCAAGCAATACATACTAAAACCTGCTCTGAGAAAAAAAGGCAGGGGGAGAACTTACAATACCTACACATTTTATAGCTATACTGTGCTAGGAGGTACACACAAGACAGAATTCACAATTACTTCAATAAATATTAGTTTGAAGTGGAAATGAGCCAACATATACCTGAGGGACAATTATTGGAGCAGTTAAAATACATATTATTTACAGTAGGTTTGTAAGTAGTGCATGACTCGGCGCAATAGGCAGCAGCAACTATGAAGGCAAGGAGCACTTGGAACCGTGTGCCAAGCAAGAGCAGCCTTAGAAACAGCCAACACCTTCTTAGCAATGTGTCAAATTGGTAAAGACTCTAAAGCTCTACAAATCCTTTAAAACAAACCTTCATAAAGAAGGGGCATGCTAATTGACATCTGTTGTCTTTTTTCTCTATGGAAGAATCAAGAATACAACAGCTACTAGCCTTACACCCATCAGGACTAGCTTTCAAAAATATTTCCTCTGTACAGGTCCTGATGGTAAGCGTACATCTGATGGGAAAGCCTCATTTTCCCCTCACCTTTTGTTTCCAGAATCCTGGTTCCTAGAATACTATGAAATGAGGACAGTTGTCCCAAACATTTAAAGAAAGATACATCCATGAGAGGGGTTTGTCCAGCTCTAGTAGAAGCTCACTGTGTGAAATTTGTTGTGCTTGTTTGCTGCTACTGGGGAAGCAGTTTAACATTAATTTGGATGTTAGTAACAGCAGAGGCATAGCAAGAGGCTCAGTATTTGCTAATATGTTTTCAAATTATTTGCTAATATGATTTTCAAATGCTGCCTTCCCTGTACTTGCACAGTCACACTTAGAGCAAGGCAGATAGCAGCACAGTGCCATCGCTTTCTGTAGTGAACTTTATGTGGACATGGTACTCAAATCTATGCCAGAGGGACTACAGTGGTGCAGACACATTACAGGCAATATGTGCTACATATGCAGAAAGTGGAGCTCAGACTTGCAGTTACAGCATGCCTGCTTTTTAGACAACTCAAAACTCTTCATTTAGGTGGTTAGCAAGGGAGCAGAGAAGAACATAGACTTAAAAGCAAAACTGAGAGCTTCCACATCCCTTTTTGGGAAGGCAGAGTACGTGGGCCTCAATTCTTTAGAAAAAAAAAAAAATTATTCAGAGTCTGAGACCACCATAGAATCATAGAATCATAGAATAGTTAAGGTTGGAAAGGACCTTAAGATCATCTAGTTCCAACCCCCCTGCCATGGGCAGGGACACCTTATGCTAAATCATATCACCCAAGGCCTTGTCCAACCTGCTCTTCAACACTGCCAGGGATGGAGCATTCACAACCTCCCTGGGCAACCTATTCTAGTGCCTCACCACCCTAACGGCAAAGAATTTCCTCCTTATATCCAATCTACACTTCCCCTTTTTAAGTTTTAACCTGTTACCCCTTGTCCTGTCACTACAGCCCCTAATGAAGAGTCCCTCCCCAGCATCCCTATAGGTCCCCTTCAGATACTGGAAGGCTGCTATGAGGTCTCCACGCAGCCTTCTCTTCTCCAGGCTGAACAGCCCCAACTTTCTCAGCCTGTCTTCATACAGGAGGTGCTCCAGTCCCCTGATCATCCTCGTGGTCCTTCTCTGGACTTGTTCCAACAGTTCCATGTCCTTTTTATGTTGAGGACACCAGAACTGCACACAGTACTCCAGGTGAGGTATCAGGAGAGCAGAGTAGAGGGGCAGGATCACCTCCTTTGACCTGCTGGTCACGCTCCTTTTGATGCAGCCCAGGATATGGTTGGCTTTCTGGGCTGCGAGCGCACACTGAAGCTGGCCCATGTTCATTTTCTCATCAACCAGCACCCCCAAGTCCTTCTCCGCAGGGCTGCTCTGAATCTCTTCTCTGCCCAATCTGTAGCTGTGCCGGGGATTGCTCTGACCCAGGTGTAGGACCTTGCACTCAGCATGGTTAAACCTCATGAGGTTGGCATCAGCCCACCTCACAAGCGTGTCAAGGTCCCTCTGGATGGCATTCCTTCCCTCCAGTGCATTAACCGAACCACACAGCTTGGTGTCATCGGCAAACTTGCTGAGGGCGCACTCAATCCCACTGTCCATGTCAGCGACAAAGATGTTAAACAAGACTGGTCCCAACACCAATCCCTGAGGGACACCACTCGTTACTGATCTCCAGCTGGACATTGAGCCATTGACCACAACTCTTTGTGTGCAACCATCCAGCCAGTTCTTTATCCACCAAATGGTCCATCCATCAAATTGATGTATCCCCAATTTAGAGACAAGGATGTCGTGTGGGACAGTGTCGAACGCTTTGAACGAGTCCAGGTAGATGACATCAACTGCTCTACCCCTGTCCATAGTTCTGCAGCCCCATCATAGAAGGCCACCAAATTGGTCAGGCAGGATTTCCCCTTAGTGAAGCCATGCTGGCTGTCACCAAGCACCTTGTTGATTTTCATGTGCCATAGCATGCCTTCCAGGAGAATCTGCTCCAAGATTTTGCCAGGCACAGAGGTGAGACTGACTGGTCTGTAATTCCCCGGGTCATCCATTTTCCCCTTCTTGAAAATGGGGGTTATATTTCCCTTTTTCCAGTCATTGGGAACTTCACCTGACTGCCACGATTTCTCAAATATGATGGCCAGCGGCTTCGCAACTTCATTCACCAGCTCCTTCAGGACCAGCAGATGGATCTCACCAGGTCTCATGGACTTGTGTATATTCAAGTTTTTAAGATGGTTGTGAACCAGTTCCTCTCCTACAGTGGGCCTAAGGTCTTCATTCTCACAGTACCTGGATCTGCCTTGCAAGACTTGGGTGGTTTGGTCAGAGCCTTTGCCAGTGAAGACCGAGGCAAAGAAGTCATTCAGAACCTCAGCCTTCTCCAAATCCTGTGTAGCCAGCTCTCCCGAGAGCTTCCAGAGCGGGCCTACATTCTCCTAGTCTGTTTTTTATTTGCTATGTACTTGTAGAATCCCTTCCTCTTATCCTTAATACCCCTAGCTAAGTTTAATTCTAACTGGGCCTTAGCTTCCCTAACCTGGTCCCTAGCTTCCCAGACAACATCCCTGTACTCTTCCCATGCCACCTGTCCTTGCTTCTACTTATTATAAGCCTCTTTTTTCAATTGAATTTTCCTCAGGAGCTCCTTATCCATCCAAGGAGGTCTCCTGGCCCTCCTGCTGCACTTCCTTCTAGTTGGGATGCAACACTCCTGAGCTTATAGCAGGTGATCCTTGAATATCAACCAAAAGTCTTGAGCCCCCCTGCCCTCTAGGGCTATATCGCATGAAACCTTACTAAGCAGGTTCCTGAAGAGGCCGAAGTCTGCTCTTCTGAAGTCCAGGGCAGTGAGCTTGCTGCACGCTCTTCTCACTGTCCTGAGAGTCTCAAATTCCAGCACCTCGTGATCGCTGCATTCAAGGCTGCCCTGGAGAGTCACATTTCCAACGAGCCCTTCCCTGTTGGTGAGCACAAGGTCAAGCACGCCACCTCTCCCTGTTGGCTCCTCTATTACTTGCAGAAGGAAGTTGTCTTTCACACAATCGAGGAACCTCCTGGATTGCTTGTGCGGGGCCTTACAGTCCTTCCAACAGATGTCAGGGTGGTTGAAGTCACCCATGAGAACAAGGGCCTGTGACCGTGAGGCTTTTCCTATCTGTCTATGGAGTGCTTCATCCGCAGGTTCTCCTTGATCAGACGGTCTGTAACATACCCCCACAGCAATGTCTCCCATAGCTGTTCTCCCTTTAATCCTGACCCACAAACTCTCTGTTGACTGCTCACCTGTCCCCAGACAGAGTTCCATACTCTCCAGCCTACCCCTAACATAAAGGGCAACTCCACCTCCCCGCCTGCCAGGCCTGTCCTTCCTAAAGAGCCTGTAACCTTCCATTCCAACACTCCAGTCATAGGAGCCACCCCATCATGTTTCTGCAATGCCTATTATATCATACCCCTGTAGATGTGCCCACATCTCTAATTCCTCTTGTTTGTTCCCCATGCTATGGGTGTTTGTATAGAGGCATCTGAGCCAAGCTCCAAATGAAGCCGGCTCATTGGCTGGAGCAGCTGGGATACCTCTACATTGCTCTGAGTATTTATTATAGGTGCTGGCAACTGACTGGGTGTGTTGGGATGGAATGATGCCCCCCTCCCCCAACACATCTAGTTTAAAGCCTCCTTGACCAGTCTGGCAAGCCTCCTACCAAAACTGTTCTTTCCCTTCTTTATCAGACCAGCTCCACCAGCCCCCACTAGACCTGGCCTACAAACTTGGGTCCCATGTTCAAGGCACCCAAACCCCTATGACACCACCCTTTTAAACATTTATTAACCTGGCCAGTCCTCCTAGCTTTTTTTAGGTCCTCCCCTGTATCCTGGAGGATGAATGATATTCAGAATATCATAAGATTACTTCTGCCTGAAAGAGAGGGAATTGGTTTCTTTAGCCTATGAAATCAGGTGGCATGGTCAAAAAACTTCTCTGCACAATTGTTCAGATGGAGAGTTGAACAAAGCCAATCATCCAGATGTAGATAGCCTTGAGCCCAGAAGGTAATTGCGCTGTCCCTGTCCAAATTTTACAGCTTGGTTCATCTCTCTCACAGTATTTGAAAACAGTGTCTGAATCACTTTTGCTAAAGAGAAGCTCTGTGCGTAGGCTACAAGTAATCAATGTATTTAATTGGTTTCACAGCATGCAAAAATGATACAATATGCAAACTGTTAATGTATAATTACCTTCCTCCGTTGTTCTTGCTTCATTTCCTCTAATCTTCTGGTTTCATCCTCTCGAAGAGCTTGCTTATACATACGGCTTCTCATCTATTGTTCAGCAAAGAATATAAACATATTGGTGTGGGGAGAAGGGGGACAAATTTCCAAATCTTATTCCCAAATTGTTATACAGGTATTTAAGAAAAAAGAACCAGTTGAATGATTACAGTTATTTAAAAAATAGATTAGTCTCAAGACTAGAATTTAAATAAGAAGTGGTTTAAAGTCTCTTGGTCATTTGGTTTGGCTCAATGTCCACTTCCACATCACAACCTGGTAGCCAGAGCACATACTACTTGGTGTCCCAGTGGCAGGGATAAACATGCCCTGAGCAGTCAGAAAGCACAATCAGGAAATCTGATAGCTAGATGGGGTATTCTGGGAAGAAAGAAAACATTACCAAGCTAACAAAGCAGAATGGAGGCCTGGTAACAGAGAGGAATTATTTGTGGAGGTAGGGCAACAGAAACTGAGAAATCAAAACTGTATTATTTGTGGGACAGCCAAGAGAACTGAAAATACGAACTACACATCACGAATAATGCATTCAACTGTGTAGTAGGTTTTCAGTACAATAACTAACCCTGGTCTTTCACAAGTTGTAGTTAGCAAAGAGCCAGCCTACCATTAAGATCTTATAGGATCCTTAGGATCTTTTACATAGGAACTTATACTGTAAAGTCTTTGATCAGGCACATAGTGTAGCACACTAAATAATGAGCCAGTACAATTTAATACAAGAAGTGTGCAGGTTTGACTTTGGTGAGGAATTTGTTGCAGGCCCACACAATGTTCTCGAAATTTGATATATGCATGCAGACTGACACCATTAAAACAACAGGCACATAATTTGCTAAAAAGACTGAAAAGAGAAAGCAATTATTAATAGCTCAATTTTGAGCTGGGAGAAGTTGTTACATGTGTCCAGGGAGACTCATTCTAGGTCCAATATTATTCATTACTCTCTGTAATGTCTTGGAGAATTGTGTGAAGTGTGTGTTAATCAAGTTGGAAGACAGTAAAAATCTACACAGGATTGGTAACACTTTGAAAGACAGGATTAAAATTAATTATGGGCTTGATTAAATAAGCAGGCCAGAGAAGTCACCAATGACAGAGTCACTCCAAAGTAGTTAAATTTGTTCACGTACATCAAGTAATATTTAACACTAATATTTGAATTGTGTGCTAAATGAATACAACTACCACAGAAATTATGTGAGTGAAAAAAAATCAACTTTACATTGCCCCAAACTTTTTTCTAACATAAATTTTAAATTTAAAAAATCATGCATTTATCCACCACCACCCTTTTAGCATGTATGTCAGGTGCTTCCTAAGCTTAACACATTTCACTATTTCAAATACGTTGCTCCTGAATCTTTTAATTACTCTAGGCAAAGGACAGGTCCATGATAACATCAAAATTAGAGTTCAGGTTTTCCACTGGTTTAGCATTTTGGTAGTACACCAAGTCTATTTAGATAACAACTCATTGGTTATGTGCTTCAGGTTCCTCACACAGAGCACAGAGGCTGCCTGTAAGCCTACAGACTGTACCTCATCCAAGCTGGTTGGGAAGACATTTTGCTAACTATGTTGCTGCATTATAAGCAAGTCATGTATTGATACACAAAGCTATAGAAATGCTGTCATTAAAAAGACATGTATAATATCAGCTAGTATTAAAGAACATTACAGATAAAAGATGTATATTATTTGCTTTGATACTAGTAAATCCAAAAATGAATTATGGTATGTAATTTGGCATAACTTATTAAAAAACCTTTCAAAACTGATATGACAAAGGCACATATAGGTAAGTGAAGTAGAAGGCAAAGACTGCAAGTAGGACCTGTACACATGAAAGAATTCAGTGTTCTCTCAGGCATTCACCCCCTTCTGTATAGATATGAAGACACCAGAATACTGAAGTCCAAGTCAGTCCTGAGGATATGAGCTTGGTTTTGTGATTCAACGTTCACACCATATGAAAGGCTGCAGATCTGGGTCTCCCCTACCAAAGAACAAGCTCCCCAGTGTTCAATGTTGGATTCTTCAAGAGGTAAGTAGAAGTGGTTTCAAGACATATTTTCTCCCTTCCCGTAATCCTTCATTTTACTTGTACACCCAGGATTACAAAGGCAGTCTGAAAGCCACTCCCTTTGCAATTGACATTCTGCCAAACAATGCTGGGCAGAGATTGGCTCCTTCAGACTGTGTATCTGCCCACACATGCTAAAATTTCTTTAGGGTTCTTAGAGACACAAAATGACCTGAGAAATCAAAGTGAGAAAGAATAATTTTTCTATCACCTTCCCTTTTCATGCAATGAAAAGCAGGAAGCAATACTAGAGGCAAGACAGATCTGTCATATATAATGCCTGCAGCCATCTCTGTACCAGGAGGATCTTGTGCATTTCCAAAGCTTCTTACAAAATATGGAGGTAAAGCTTTCTTTCTCTTTAGTCTGCTGTTGGTTCTGTTCAAACCTGTTCAAGGTTGAATGCTACTGAGGGCTACTCAGATTGGATAATTCCAAGTTTCTGCTGACTAAGGACTATTGCTTGTAACAACAATTTCTGTCCACTTGGCTGCCTGCTCTTTGTCTTTCCCCCAGTTATGAACCTCCTAAAGGAGAAATACTTCTGTCTCAGGCTTAATATCCATCACTGGAAGCTTTTACATTAGGAGGAAAGTGGTTTAGACATGAATAGTCTAATCATATGTGGAAAAGCCTTTCTGAGGCAATTAGAATAATGAAACTTAAGCAGTACTTTATCTACTTCCTAGTTACATTGATACTTAAAAGGTTCATTCAAACTGGGACAAAGTCCCCAAGCAGTCTATGGAATCACTTTTTGGATGCATGAGGAATAAGCTTCTCTTCTGACTAGAAGTTAAGCATCTGCTGACATGAACTAGTTGAGATTTCATAAAAGCTTGCCACCAATGGATGGGTACAGAGCACATTTAAGATTCTGATCTGACCTTAGAATATAAATCTGGTTCTCATTTACCAAAGAGAGGTCTGTGAATAATAAAGGCAGTCCCCTAATATGTAGGATACTGTCAGTGTGTAAGAAACAATGTAGACAATCTCATTCACCCAGAAAGAGCCCTTGGCACTTGCTGAGTTCTGTCTAGGCAATTAAGCTCAATTAGAATATTCTAATATTACACTATTGACAGCACCTGGAAAGCTGATAGAAAATATAGCACATGCCATGATTTTTCTTACCCACGCTGTAGATTCTGCACCATGATTAGCAATCTGACAGGAATCACTCTTTGGCAAACCCACGTCCAATCTGTTCAATAATTCATTGGTTTTGCTATGAAGAAATCCAATCCAAATAGAATCGTTAGTGTTTCCATAAAAATAAATACAGTTTTTTATTCCACCCTTGGAATCTAGCCTAGACATTTTATCATGTGCCAGCTTAAAAACACCACAGGTGGAACAGAAGGTTACGGAGACAGACAGAATGAAATGGGACAGAGGGTAAGAGGCTATATTATGGATAAGACATTTGCTGGGAGTACGTTTTAAGCAAACAATTCTTGTTATTTGCATATTTATGGTTTACAGTGGCTACGCTTTCTTTCATCATTGTAAAGCATCTAAAACACAGACTCACATACTATTGGACTTCACCAGGATGCAACTGCTTCACTGAATTGTTGCAAATCCTTCTACCAGATCTGTAAATCTCAGATAAGTTATTTAAAAGATTATTTTAAGGATATTTCCTTTATGCTTAATACAATGCAAACTTACAGCAGATTTCTTAATTAAGCAGAGAGACTGAAGCATTTTGTAGCACTGAAAAAAAAAATGCCTGCCTTTAGTTGAAGCAGGATTGCACAACTAAACAGGATTTTCACAGTAGCATTGCTTTGTTCACAGTTTTAATCAAGTACAGTTAAATAAAGTCACTAGCAGAAACAAAACCAAACATCAAGAATAGGAGTTTCAGTGCCATGATCAGGAACCAGTTTGCAAAACTGCAGTCCCAGGCATATCCATTCAAGTCTTCGCTCACTCAAAGCAATAGAATTAGAGGAAAGAGGAAACTTTATTTCTATATACAGCTTTGGAAAGCATGAAGGTACTGAAGTGAGAGCAGAAAGAGTGCTTCAAAAGGCATTGAACACAAAGATTTATTCTGCTAGCAGCACAATCAGCTAACTCTGGCAGTGGGAGAAGATGTTGCTACCAATGATAGCTGCTTAACCTTGGAGAAAAAGACTTGGCCGATGAGTGATGCTGACTAACTGCTGAAACAGACTACCAAGTGTGTTTTTCTCTTTCACCCTCTGATCTCAAATGGTGAGTAGATGCATTTTTGGAAAATGTCCTGCTGGTCAGTGGGTGACTTTCACTTGAGAAGTCGGGAAAAACAACAGGAACCCACAGATTCTCCGCTACTCTACACAACACAAAACCATATTACCACTTCAGGTACAGTACTTGATCAGGCTGTAGCAAGTCATGCTTTTAAATTCTCAGCATTCCCAGTTCACTCCCTTTTTTCCACTACCTGGACCTCAGCCAACTCACAATACAGAAAGAATCAAGTGAAGCATAAGATTCCCTTATATACAAAGTATATCAAAGTTAAATAAATTAATAGTCCTCTTAACCAAGCATAAAGTTCATATGTTTTTTACATGAAAGATGAGTGGTTAAGTACTGAGATTGCACAGAACAATTCTGGGAACTTGAGGTTTTACATCGCAGATTTTGTGTTGCTCTACCTATGCTAAAATCATTTATTTCTGCACCAGAAAGAGTCAGAACTCCTACAGAAAGTCTGGATATATTTGAGAAGGTTGAAGCTCTGCAAAGAAATATCTGGCAACTTGGAGGTATACCTGGGTGTTCTAATTCCTTATGGATGGCAAAAGAATGACATGGGGTATGTGGGAGTTCTCATTTGTGTAAAAAGAGGTGGAAGCTTAAGACACTGCATTTTCCAGGTCAGCACATGGATAGATGAAAAACTAACTCAGTTTCAGTATTAGAAAAGATGATTACAAGAATGGAAGCAAATAAAATTTCTCTGCAAGACTGTGCACTGCCTTTGAATACAGAAAACACCCTACTATGCCAATTAAGTAATACGTTAGTAAAGTGTCCCTGTTACAAGAAAAGGACTCAGGTTTCTAAACCTGACTAAAGGTGAACTCAGTCAAGTCAGTCATATACGTTAATTCCTTGTGTAGCATCTCTATAGAAACCTAGCAATGCATCTGGAGTTGTCAGACTATCAAAATATTGTCTGAATGGTGTCTTTCATAATATTAAACCTATAATCGTAACAATGCAGAGCATAGCATAAGCCATGCTGCAGGGAAAAGAGGAAGTCAGAGATGACAGTCCAATTAATGTTCCAGAGAGGAAAGCATTATCTCCAGAAGGAAATCAGCATATCAATGTGTCCATAGGTGTTCTGCATTCAAAGAGTTGGAGCAACATCTTGCTTGCTTGCTAAAACTTCAAGGGCTAATCAAAGATGCTAATTAAATATGTTCCTCTAAACTGATTAATATTAAGGAAAGAAGAGCATGAGCTAGAGAAATTAATTTGAAAACAGCAGAATCCTGATACCCTTCAAAACTAGCTAGGCAAAAGGAGACCCAAAATTTAGACAAAGAAGATGGCAGCATCCTAACAGGCTGCTGACCTGAGCTCTGATTACACTTAAGCTTCAGGCTGACAGGAAGAGAGCCATTCAGAAATATTGGTTAAGGTGGAGCAATCTTATGGTCTTTTGTCTTCTCGGTAGCCCTGTTTCCCATCACACCATTGGGAGCAAGCCTTTTGCTCTGCTAAGTAAAATAGGCTACTCCCATACTAATACATTTAATAGCACCCAGCAATGCTTTTAGCATGGAAACTCAGCCATCTATATTGTGGTAACAGTTCCTGGAATAGTTTTGACCTATTTCAAACAGCACTTTCCCAAATAACTCCTGGATGCTGTTCAGGAATGAGGATCAACCACAATTAATTCCCAACAGGCACTTTGGATGCAACTGCCCCAATTTAGGGGTGGATTCATCCTTAGGGACATGAATAAGGACATGGGCTCAGGCTCCAGCATCTTCTTCCACCCGAGTTGCACAACACTGCTTGCTAAGCAGTGCATACAATTTGAGATTTTATTCCTCTCAGTACAAAGATGTAAAGAAAATAATTTTTTTCTGCCTACACATAAAGTTCTTGGGTTTAAGGCTGTTTTACAGACTAACATTAAAAATGCATCAATTAAAAGGGCTTCTTGTAATATTCATTATTCCTTCCCAATGACACAAGTGGCAGTTAATTCTTTTGCTTAAATTGATGGATATTGAAATGCCAGGATACAGAAAAATATACTGGCTTTTATGCCAGTGCTTTTGAAAATAAAAGCAGCACAGTACTGTTGCATATATCATAAATCTATTTATTTCTCTTGACAATTTTTTAAAGATAATGGCCACACTTATTAATACTGAACACAAGACAGCTCCTTGTTTTCTCAAGCTGCAGGATCTCCAGCAATTCTACTCTAATGAATGTCCGCAAGCATGGTAAGAGCTATTCAGAAACAATAATAAGAAGTAGAAATAAAGAATCCCAAGCCAGGTAAATCATTATAGCAGTTTCAGAGAGCAGACAACATGAGTAGCTGCTAAAACAATAGAAGTAGTATCTAGTGCTGAATAACACAGACACATCAGCTTCCAAATTCATTGTCAGTAAGCAATACTAAAGTGATATTTCATAATTTTCTTCCAATTCAGCTGAAAAACTAAGAACCACACATAATGCATACATAATGTTAGTTTCACATATCTGCCCAGAAGTTTCATGGTGGCGTTGAAACAATAGCAGACCTCCCACCCCTGCCCCTCCCCCCCCACCAAAAAAAAAAAAAAGAAAAAAAAAACCAAACTGAATTTCATTCAAGACACATCTTTTTGCAGCACCAGCAAACATATCTACACTTCTCCACACTTCAACATATTTAATTGGCCAAACATAACAATTTCCTCAAATTTTGCAGGAATTTAGCTCAGCTGCTTAACACTACTAAAGCCTACTCAAAAGAAAAGCTACCCTTCATTTCAGTAAGCTCCATGGTGACTGTGTTCTTACTGATGCCCTTGTTCCTTCCTCAGCAAGAGTTCTGCCTCGTGAATTGCCATACACATCCTGATCAGGCATTTGCTATGTACTACAGCCAGCCTGGCTAGTAGTAGGGCCATTGGTTCTCCTCTGCCTAACAAAATCAAATGTTAAAATAAAAGAAATTCCTGAAGTCAATGCAAAGATTGATGAGATTGTGATCCATTTATGCAGTTTTCCCATAGATTCTGATTTGGGAAATGGAGAAAGAGACTTCAGAGGGAGGTATACTTGGGATTTTCACTAATGAAAATCATTTGTTGAAGTGGGAAATGAAGCTGGGGAGTCCATAATACTGTTTGCAAAAATAATCCCACAAAAGGTACGTATTTCAAAATTAAGCCATTAAGAAAGTTGCAAGTAGCCTGAGTGGGGACACCAATGCTTTTTGATGGCATACAGTTATACATTCCTCCTATCATATCCCATCTTTGCTGAGATGTATCACAGCAACAAGTTTGCAAGTTTTATATAAATTAGAAGGCTACAAGCGAATGCCCTGTTTTCCATAGCTGGGCCATGACAAGGGGCAAGGTTGTAAAGACATCTCCGTCTTTCAGCAAGAAACATGCCTTCAACTCTACATGGATTCTGGTTTACTTGTACCTTAACTTGAATCTATGCCTGCAGGACAGAGTCCAGTTTTCAATAAGAATTAAAAAACAGACATCAGCCATGTGAAAAGTTGCCAGTGTGAACTAATGTCCATTCTTTGTGTGCATGTGAGTGGGGGATTCATCTTTTGCTGGAAGCTATAAGGTGAAAAATTACAATATGACATAATTAATCCATTAAATTCCTGTATGATGTTGATGGCTTTTCAGCAATGCCCTTGACTGGGAAGAAAGGCCATCCTCTGGGTATTTAGCTCACTTGCTTTCCAATAAAAGTCCTTCCAATAGCCACATACCAAGTTGAATGCAGCATTCATGGACTTCAGTGGGAGTAAAGCACAGGCATAGTCAAGAGGACTTGGACATATCTAATTATAGAGATCAAAACTGTGCTGTCTTTAGCTGGTAGGCTTTCTTGTCTGCGAGTTCTTGAGCATTTGTTCCTGTTCTTGGGGATAAGAACAAAAAAACGTGGCACTAGTTCATTTTAGGTATAAAGCTTCAAGAAAGTACAAAAATAGGTTAAAAAAAATTCTCAGCAGAA